TTGACAAACAGGTATCAGTTGTGGAAAAAGTACATGACAACAAGTGAGGGAGTTTGGATAGAACATATATCCATGCCCCCATGATAACGTGAATGCTTAGATTTAATTCATTTGAAAGTGTTCAGTGTACTTTAGCAGTGCAGTGTAAGTTTGATAAGAAAGTAAGGAGACCACTGAAGAAAACTTAAGATGAAAAAGAGAAGAAACATGCTTGAACTAATGGGAAGAGAAGTCATGAGGTATGAGTTCAAATAAACCGATTTTTGCTTTGAATGTCACCAGGTAACAAATTGATGGAAAAACCTCGAGAGAGAATGAGTTATGAAAATATTTCACCAACTGTGGCTTAGATATTAAGTTATCATTTCTGGCTGAGAAGGTGGTGAGATGAGACAATGTTCAGGGAGAGCATCAAAAGGACATTGGTTTTGTCTGAGTGGCTTCGAACAGACTTTGGAAATGGGATTTGGATCTACATGAATATAGAGGGAGTTACAGGAAGAAAATAGTATCATGTAGTAGAAGTAAGTGGGTCAGATATGTATCTATTTCTTTGAGACTGTGAGATGAGGGGATGACTTTGCATTACCTAGGGACCCAGGCAGAAGGCACATCGTAACTTGGCTTGCACTTCTATGTCAGTTGTAACTAGTTCAGCTCATGTGTTAAAAGGGAGAGAAGAAGAGGAGGAGGAGGAGGAAGAGAGAGAGAGAAAGGGAGAATGAGAGAGAGAGCGTTTCCTATTAGAGGTTGGTGGATATTTTCTTTGGACAACTCTGCATAGAAAGTTTCAGCCATGAAACACCTGCAGACCACACTCAGCACACTCCAGGATTGAGCAGAGGCCACTAAAGCACACGTAACAGGGAACTCACAGTGCTCACAGCATGGCAGAGATGACTGATAGTGTCAGGGAGGTGAAATGGCATGCAGGATTACAGGGCAGTGACTGACCATGTGTCAGGAAATATGTGAAGAGAGGCAGGATTGCCACATATCACCAACTTTTATAAAACATGCAGGCAAAATATAAAATGACAAAGATAATTGAGGGAAGTACAAGCTTAGTCATGTACCTTTATGAATCACAGTGTTCTTGTTATTCTCATTTTAGCAGATGAGATGGAAACCACACATGAAGCATGTAACCTTGCTCATTTGTCTTTTTCCAAAGTTTTTTTTTTTTTCCTACTCAGATGTATAAAAGTGCAGAATGAGATCAAGTATCCACATACAAAGAGCTATCTTCCTTTCTCTCATTGGACTTGGCGTCAGAGGGAATTATTTTCTGTTTCTGAAGCATAGCCACATTATTACCATGGGTCCCGAGGAAAAAACCACAGACATTAACATTATGGCATTTTGTGACAGTGTATTCTCAAGCATATTATCAGCGTTTCTTCTCAGTAACTTCCTACAAAATATTATTTGTAAAACTGTAATTTAACTGAGTAGGGTGGCTCAAAGTCTCTCCATCTGCACCACCTGCCTCTTAAGTGTAGTCAAGGCCATCACTATCAGTACCCAGGAACACCTTGTGGAGAAAGCTCAAACCACGCACTGTGTGGCAGGTTCTTTCCTACCTCCTCATCTTCTGTGTCTTTAGCTTTCTCATAAGCTCTAACTTTCTCCACTACATCACAGTAATCAACAGCATGAATAGGTCTAGTATTAGAATGTATATTGGGAATTGCTGCATGCTGCCAGTTCCACAAATGGTCAGATGGCTCTTCCTCTGCCTCATGGCTCTTTGGGATTTCACCTTTTAGAGTCTTGTGGCTGAAGCAGTGTGTACATGGCTCTTTATCTGTACAAACATCACAAATGTGTCCTCTACCTCCAGAGCTCCAGGTGTGCCAAATATCCCAGCCCAGAGATCAGAGCCACTCAGAGTACTCTCATTCTCATGACCTGTTTCCAGTTCTTATATTGGATATAATTAATTTTCTCCTTCTATTTTGGAGGAATTAACAAGTGATTTCACATCATTAAGTACTAAGTTGTTTCTGGAGCTAGGGTATGCTAGTTTCAGCCCCTTTGTCCTGATCAGCAGGTATTCTAACTTGGTCAACTATTGGTATACTTACTGAGAAATTGGAAAAGTACTTTCCATAGCAAATGCTCCAATTAAGGAACACATCACTTACGGATTTTTATATGCAGCACAATTTAAACATGTCACATATAAATAGTGTTCTTAAGATGCAAGCAAAAACAAAATCAGAACTGATTAGGGTTAACTCCTGGAGAGAAAATTCAGAAAATTGTGATGATTGGAAGCATGGGGGGAAGAAAGACAGGAACACCTTGGACTACTTGTGATCTGACTTGATATAATTCAATCATGGACTTTGTCACTATACCTCACCACAATATGGGCACAGCACAATATGGACACATTATAGAAAGTGGGGGTACCTGGCCAAGTACTTTTGCAGTTTTGTGATCTGCTTGGCATGTTCTTGTTTTTCACAATTAACTGTGTTGTTAGGCTGTCTAAATCTGTTCAGGGGCCCATTCTTAAGACACAGTTCTTGCAACAAATATTTTATTATTGCTCTTAGGATATTTTTCTTTGTGCTTGCAGAATGATGGATACTTACTCATCTTTTTTTGATAATGGAAGAAAAGGAGTGAATTACAAGCAGAAAGAAGAGCCAATTGTATGAGAAAAAAACAGACTTTGTCTTATTTTTCCCCAATGTTTGTCCCACTTTTAGTGTCAAAAGTGCTTAGCCACTCAAAAGAGGCCTGAGAGAGATGTGTTAGCCTCCCCCTCCTCTGACATTCTCACACAATGAAAGACAGGAATGCCACTGGACTGAACCACTGTGGGTGGGAGCTGAGTATCTCTGCAGGAAGGCCTGGGTGTCAGGGACCCTGCAAGCAAGCATGTCCAAAGAAGGAAGACTTGGAGGAAAGAGAAAAGAGGGCAGGCACTTCTCTACCTGTAGTTCTAGACTACAAGGCTTGGCTTCTTAGGCTCCTTTCTGTTTGAGAACATCCAGCAAAACAGCCTAACAAGTGTTCCATCTGATCAACGGCACTTTGCCTTTGATAACAGCTGCTGGTGAAGCTGCAGAGGATGTGCACATGTTGGGACAAATGTGACCTCAGCTCATCACAGTGGGCAACAATTCATAATAAAACAGAAATGTGTGTACATTTAGACTCAGAGATCTAATTTTGTCTAGCAAAGAATGCTGTGGCTACTTTCACATGAGATGTGATATACACCAAGGTACATTTCAGTGTCTATGCTTTCAATGACTGGAAGCAGTGCAAACATGCACCAGAAGGAGACTGGGCCCAGTGCATCCAGGTGTATCATGAAATGGGATGCTCTGTGGCTTTAAGGATTGTAGGAAGTTCTTCGTGTACCAATATGTAGCAAGCCCCACAGGCAAGAAGCATTTATGCATCAAGCCACAGAAACATTTATACATTCGCTGCTGTTTACACTGAGAAGGAAAAATATGACTTGCATATTTCTAAGAGACAATATGTATTTGTGGTAGTGCATGAGCCAAATTTGATTTTTAAAGTTTATCTATGAGTAATTATTTTTAATATTTTTATCTTATTTCTAATATTATTTACATAGTTGAAAGGTATGCCTGCCCATGTGGGCTTCCAATTATGGTGGAGAGGGTCAAGGTATGGAGCAAGGTATGTGGGACAAAGGTTTCCTTTTTTTTTCCTTCTGTGTCTACTGGATTGGAATAGGAGAGGGGCTGTTAATGGCTGCTAAACTACATCAGCACCAGTAGATGGGGTTGGTTATTTGATGGCACATTATAAATCCTACTGTTCATAGAAAGGCTCTGAGGGTGTTGCTTGAGTGGATTGGCTAGTTCTGAGACATTGTCTGCTATGTTGCTCCAAAGTTGAGAAAATCTTTCCAAGGTCTGTTGACTTAGTGTATCCACACACCCAGAGACTCATTGCAAAATTTGGCCAGGAGAGTGGTGCAACCTGTTGTGCTTTCTATCTTCTGACCAGGCAATTGATATCCTTTACTGGCCTAAATGAGTTGGTTCTCGTGTTCTTTGTTTGCACCTGGGCATGCTGTCCATTGCACAGAAATTAGCAACTGAGGATGCCCAATACTGACACATGACTGCAAATCAGACCACACCTCCTGTGATTTGCCCTGTGGCCAGGGTCTGAGTCTGGGAGTCTCATTGAGGAGTCCCCCAAGAAATGGCATGTGGGGAGATCTCTGGCTTGACACTTGTAAGCACCAGCCAGTGCAGTGTCAAGTTCAAGCCATCACCTGCACTAGCCAATGCATATACAAGTGGATGCAGATGCCTGATCAGTTCTGCACCAGCCCCATCTTTCATGTGAACTAATGGGTACTACAACCTAGCCCTGCCCAGCCTGCTACTTTTGCAGTCCTCACAAATGCCAGTGTATGCTTTGGCTCAGTTGGGGTCACCCCCAACTAGCTCCACAAAACCAACCCCAACCCTATTTTTTGTGTTTACTAGCCTATGTTGTGGCCAGGATCAGCCAGGCCACACCTCGATGCAGCCCACATGCCAGCCATAGGTGCTACAGCACTACCAGGGCTGGCCCAACCACAGTTCCGGTTCTCACACTCAGCTGTGGAAACAATATCCTGGCAGGGGAGTCCTTGATGTTTCCCTACCACGTTCAGTTAGAACTGATGAAGGGGGGTTATCACTTTAAGATTTCTGGGAAAAGTTCTTCAAGTAATTTTCCACCTAGGGAACACATAAAAGGCTCATGTAGAAAGGCAGGAACATGCACTAAGGCAGGTGTTGTGTTTCAATTGCAACTTTTACCACCCCTGTTTCAACAGAAGCAAGACAAAAAGAGGAGATCAAGTAGGAGATGAGAGAGCTTCTAAGCATGAACAGTGATGTATGAATGTGTACGTGCATATCAACATGTATGTGCATCACTACTGCTCTTTTGAATAAGCAGAGAAGATCCACACACCTGAAATTTGCCATGTTACCTTCTTTGTTTTCCTTAAAAGTTTTATCTAGTCCTGTTCCTGAAGTCAGAAGATGACTTGGAGTGACCTCACCCAGAGAATAATCATCCTTTCTCTCACTGGACCAGGAATGGTGGGAAACCTCCTCATAGTTGTGAGACATGCACACACTTTGGTCATGGGTTTAGTGAAAAAATCCATAGATCTTATCCTCATCCATTTGGCTTTTTCAAATATTATCGTCATCTGTACCACAGGAGTGAGAGACATAATCACAGTCATTTATATCAGTAACTTCCTACTAGGTGAGATTATTTGTAAAACTGTGTTTTACTTGAACAGGGTTGCTCGAAGTCTCTCCATCTGCACCACCTGCCTCCTCAGTGTAGTCCAGGCCATCACCATCAGTCCCAGGAACACCTTGTGGACAAAGATCAAACCACACACTGCATGGCAGGTTCTTCCCTACCTCCTCATCATCTGGGTCTTTAGCTTCCTCATAAGTTCTAACTTGCTCCACTATACCACAGCAGTCAACAGCATGAATAAATCTGCAGTTAGAAAACATGTTGAGTATTGTTACCTACTGCCAGCTCCACACATAATCAAATGGCTTGTCCTCTGCTTCATGGCTCTTCGAGACCTCACCTTTCAGAGTCTCATGGGATGGAGCAGTCTGTACATGGGTCTACATCTGTACAAACATCACAAACGTGTCCTCTACCTCCAGAGATCCAGGTGTGCTAAATATCCCAGCCCAGAGATCAGAGCCACTCAGAGTACTCTCATTCTCATGACCTGCTTCCTGTTCTTTTATTGGGCAGATTTTATTTTCTCCTTCTACATAGGGTTCACTCTGACACAGATTTTCACATTATCCAATGTCAAACTATTTCCAGAATTTGGTTTTGCCAGTCTCAGTCCCTGTGTCCTGATTGCCAGAGAATTCTACCTTGCTAAATGCTGGAGTGCTCACTGAGGGGTGCAGGATACAGCTTCACTACTACCTTTTCTAGTCACTTAAGATATATTTCTAGAAACTGACTGTCCTTGAATGCACGAAGTACTAATTCATTAAGGTCTATACAAATAGACATGGTTTCTAGAAGAAGCCTCGTAATAGGCAATCTAAGCTTATTCTGACGTTTTGGGAAGCTAGAAAGAGAGTCTTCTTTTGCCTTCAATGTGCCATTCCTAACACATGGTTTTATGTTCTGTTTACTTGGTTTTTGCTTGATTTCGTTCTTTCAAAAGCAGAATGACAGACAGGATAAGGTGAGTGCAATTGCTGTTTTCTGTACAAAAAAGTATGATTATCATAAATCAACAAAAATAAAAATATATCAGATAAGAATGCAATAAATATGAAAGTCAAAAAGTTCTGTTCATACCCAGTTTTTTTGCAAATGTCTTTAATCTGATTATTTCACAAGCAAAAAAAGGGTGTTTTTTTATTACTTCAAAACAGTTTAAAAATTAATCCTTTTAATCATTACATTTGCCTTGTACATTTGCCTCAATGTTGTGCAGACATGATCACTATCAATTCTAGTGTTTGTCTTTACTTCAAACGAAATCTTATATGTATAAGACAATAATTTACTGAAAGTCAGAGGTTTTGGAATTCAACAAAGACTTATAAGCAGATCAAGGCAAAGGGAGACCTGGAAGAGGCTCCTGGTTTTGGATTAGCTCAATTCTTGCCACTACGGCCGCTTGGGGAGTGAACCTCTGGAGAGAAAAATCATCATCTCTGTCTCTCCTCATTTATGTACATCTGCCTTTCAGATAAAAATAAATATATCTTAAATTAAAAAGGAAATAATAGGGAAATGATGATCTTAGCTGATGCCTGGATGCCAGCATCCCTTATATGCACCAATAAAAATCCTTGCTGCTCTGCTTCTGAACAGGTCCCTCCCATGGGTCAAAGAAAACAATAAAAATGGCTCAAATTCTTGTACTCCTGTCTCCTGTGAGAAAGATCCAGGTGGTATTTCTGGCTCCTGGATTTGTTGCAGCAGTTTAAAGAGTGAACCACCATGTGCAAGATGTTTCTCTCTGTACCACTTTGCTCCTCACATAAATAATAAAAATGACACAAAACTTTTAATAAGGGAAACTGATTGAAATTAAAAAAAATGATCTCCTTTGTAGTATATACTCTATTATTAAATGTTTATGTTCATCAAATCAGATGGAATAAACAAACCTGAGAAGTCCTGATGCTTAGCCTTGTTCTGTGTCTATTCTGAGAACTGCAGGGCCGATGCAGTTGGGACACAGCCACACACTGGTGTTTGGAGTGGCTCAAAACATACAGAGGGACTGTAAGAATTAGCCAATAATCTGTGAAGGAGCAATCCATCCATTCACAGCCCCAAGCAGTTGTGGATGGTCTGAGTGGTAAACGAGATCCTGACATTAAAGGCCACAGTGTTGGGCAGCTCAGAAGTGGCATCAGACCATTTCCTCTGGACCAGCCTCAGTTTACCTCTACTTACCAGGCTTAGTTGCCAGAAGTACAGCTGCTCCTGTGGTGGGAACGATGTCTACTGAAGTGAGGTCTCAGCTGTGTCCACCCAGTTCAGCACATTCCTTTGCAGCAGGGTTAGCCGTTGAGGAGGGAGGAAATGGGAGGGAATGAGAGCAGTGCTTACAACCTAGTCATCACTGTAGGACAACCTAGGGTGTTCCTGGCTGCTGCCTCCTCCATGTTGTCTTCTGCACAGATATATAGAGGTCATCTCTGAAAAAGCGTGGGGGCCCTGGGACCCATGTGAAATCCAATAAATGAGGCTACACCCTCACTCATTGAGGACTCAAGCAAAATAGCAGAATTTGAATGTTCAGTGCCAGTGGCATTATGAATCATGGTCAGTGAACTTTGGAAAGATAAATAAACAAGTAAGCACACTGAGAAGGGCAGACAACTAGAGATTTGAATCCTGGATTCTCTGCATGCTGCCAGTATATAGGTCAAGAAACAGCCTCACTGCTTGAGGTGCCCTAACTTCATTAACATGACTCCACAAGACAGCCACTGATTCTACACTCAGTGGCCATGTATATAAAAGTTGAGCACCTTTTAAGTGTTTACAAAGTATATTTTAAGGTACCTTTAACATAGCCTATTAGGAAAAGCTCCTGAGCTTTGGTTGTAGTGGGAAGGATGAGATCACAATCAAGTCCAAGGGGCCTGGACCCTCTGAGATCTGCTCATCATCATGCTACCTTCTGCTCATTAGTGCAGATTCAGTGTAATTAGGATCATGATGTTTCTGGACTTGACAATCAAGACCAGAGCAGGGAGAGGGCAGAGCAGGCCCCAGGGAACCACAGCATGTAGAAGGAGCCAAACTCATCACATTAACATGTTGACAGCAGTGACAGCATGTCCCTGAGTGCTGGGACTCAGGCAAGGATAAACTGACCTGGCTGTGTGTCTCTGCCACAGATCCTGCCACAGTCTTGCAGACTGCTCAGGTGAGTGAGACTGAGTATGTGTGTGTGCAGGGGTAGCTGCCTTGGCTTTGGAAGAGACGTTGTTCCAGACAGGTCTATTCAGGACCAGGTCGGGAGAGGGCAGCATCTCAGATTTTCCTGTCCTCTTGGAAGAGGAAGTTGAGAGCAGCCAGGGAGAGGGTGGCTATCACTTCCCAATGCATCCAGCAACAACTGCTTCTGTGGCCCTGGAGGGAGACTTTGTGAACTAGCGCCATTGATCACCACAGCCTAAGGCTTCTCCAATTCCCAGATGTGAGGGAAGCCGGGCGCATCAGGCAGCAGCAGGCTCTCAGCCTGTGTGGGGGTTCCCGCTCCCACACACTCCCGGCTTTTGTGCACTTTGCAGCTCAGGGACTTTTGTTGTGGTTTTATTTTTATTTTATTTGTCTTTTATTTTGCGTGTCCTAGTGGCCTTCTGTTGTTTCAGCATGGGATCCTTTTAACTTTATTTGGTATCCTAGGATTTTTGACATTCATTTTTTTTTTCTTTATCATTCCTTTAAACTACATACTGAAAACACAGTACAATTCTTAGATGTCATGAAATACAGACAAAAACACCTTGAACTCATGCCCTTGCTCCTCACTGCAGACTGATCCAGAACAAAACACTTCCCGATTTTAACAATGTTGGGTCTTACAGAGGCAATGTGCAGACAGACATTGGCGAGGCTAGGCGCTGATATTTAGAGTGGCTCATTGTAATCCTGTTTTCTAACACTCTGCACTGTTACACCATCCAGATGTTATTGCTGTGAGTTTCCAATTTTAAAGCATTTATGGACATTTTGATGAAGAAGATATTATAGAAGATGCAGCTTTGGCACATGTTTTGCTCATCTAAAGATGCAGGAGCAGAGCCCAAGGGGAGGAAGCACAGGGCCTCAGATGAAGGAACAGGCACCAGCCAGACCAATTCTGCAAAACCAGGCTCAGCCAAGGGTGCTGCACTGACATCACTGACATTAGTTACTTTCTCAGGAACCCAAGAGGACTGGGCTCTCAGCCTTACCAGGAGGAAAATCCTTGGAAACATTGCTGCATTTGAAATGACAAATTTTGTGCTTGTATTTATGAAGAAAAGCTTATTTGTATTGTCAAATATGTTTGCTTGATTTTTGACTGAAGCAGATGCTTGACTAATACCTTAAAAGCTGAATGGTCTAATGGCCATCAGACAGTTTAAACCAAGAGCCCTTCAGCTCAGAAGCACATGTTCTGCTGTTACAGACAGAGCCTGCGAGTTTAACCCAAGTGAGGCATGGGGCCTGGTTTCCTCCGCCCTTGCCTCCCTGCAGGTGGAAAGACAGGACGCTGTTAGGCACAGCTGACGCTGTGAGTTTCCAATAACAGGACGCTGTTAGGCATAGCTGAGTCTCTCAGGCAGTTTGCAAGGTCTTCTCTGATGTGCATGCTGGGTGCTTGCAGTTGCAGTTCCCTCCAGGCAGGCCTTCCCTCTCACTCAGCAAGATGACATTTTTTAAAAAGATTTATTATTTTTATTACAAAGTTAAATACACAGAGAGGAAGATCTTCATCCCAAGATTCACACCCCAAGTGAGTGCAATGGCTAGTGATGTGCAGATCCGAATCCAGAATCCAGGAACTTCCTGCAGGTCTCCCACACAGGTGCAGGGTCCCAAAGCATTGGGCCATCCTCAACTGCTTTCCCAGACCAAAAGCAGGGAGCTCAATGGGAAGTGGAGCTGCCAGGATTATAACCAGCACTCATATGGAATCCTGGCACGTTCCAGGTGTAGACCTTAGCAGCTAGGCCATGCTGCCGGGCCCAAGGCCACTTTTGAAGCCTGAACAGGATATAGGCATTGGGCCCTCACAAGGGATGCATTCAGCACAGTGGACCCCAAGGTCCCTGCTGCACTACAGTGTCACAGTGTGGACCCTTAGCATGGTGAGTGCATTTCCTTCTAGATACATCTGTTTCCTCTGGTGCAAATGGCCTGACAAGCGTATTGTGCAACATGGCTCTTGCATGCTTGCTGAGAGATCACTCCTACACTTGGAATTATGACAAGATATCCTCTTCACTCCTCCCTGTGACAAGATCAAAAAAAAAAAAAAAAACTTACCATAACTACTTCTACTCGTAAAAACCTATACACCAAAGTCCTTTGAACACTGAAAAGTTGAAATTAGATTGTAAGCTCATAGGATCCAAGAACCGTAAAACTGAGTCTGCTCAAAAGGAAATCAGAAAATTGGCACCTATCTTTGTGCCCGTATACTTTTTAATGATGAGATTTTGATTACATATTATATATTTTCCTGTCTTAAATGCCTTAAACTGGGAGAAAAGATCAAATGGTTTAACCAGGAACAATGTGATGTTTGGAAGTCTGGACATCATGTGGAATGACGAAATCTGGCTAATTAACATGCACATTACCTATGGTATTTCCTTCCGTTTTGAGATTCTGCTACATGAAGTAGTCACAAATCTCTGCAATACTT